CGGCAATGCGGATGTCTTGAGATTTCTAGGCTTCGACAGCCGGCAGCGCTTGAGCACCGAAGAGGATGTGGGCTTTTGGGAGAAGGCACAAGTGGCAGATATGCCAGAAACACAGGCGGAGTGGATTCATATATAATATGCAGTGTATGCTTGAGATGCTTTTGGTGCTCTTTAGATTGGTTTCCCTTCTCATCACGCCTCCCAGACCTCGAGGAGCTCTTCGATGCCTACATCGGCACCTGGACTTCTCCCTACGACGACGACGCCATCGCCGCCGCACTGAGGGGCAAGAGCCGCGCCTGACGAACCTCCCAAAACGTGGGGCGGTGCACCAGCTCGGCACACCCGAACGGCTGTGTGAAACAGATGCGAACAGGGGGCACCGGCGGATGGAGTGAGCTGAATCTGCATTGACTTCAACAGTGAAATGGAAGCAAATTGGAGCTGCGTACCTTTTTATTTTCGGAACTTCCGGAGGTGATTGAGAGAAATGTTTGGGCACAAGCCTCAGCAGATCGGGGAACGCCATTAAAGAGATACACAGACTTTCCAAAACGATCAAGGTAGGTCTCAAGGTCCTTGCGGTGTTTTCTGTTGGTTTCATGAGCACATCACACACCACTTCTTTTTGCCTGACTTCCGTCGGGTGAGAGTGGAAGCTCAATCTCCAAGAGGCTTTCCATTTCTTGGATGGCCTGGCCTACTTAGTGCTGCCCCTGTTTGTAACATGGGCTTTCAGACTCTAGGTCGGCCAGTTTTTGTCCGACACGTGGCAACTGGACCCACGTTCCCCTCGCCCCTCGGTCCTTCACCAGCCTTCGGTGCCAGGCGCTGCGCCTTCGGCCCAAGGCGGCGGATGGTGAGAGTACACGGAGCCAGACGTTGTGATTGGATTTGATCGCACACTTCTTTTTTTTTTTTTGGTGGGGCATGGGTCATGCAGTGACATTAGCGAAGAAGGACGCAGGCCCAAGTGATGGAGTCAAATCCAATCTGCTATCAAAAGACATGGGTTCGAGGAAGTGACAGTTATAGTTCCTGCCGCATTCACTTGGGAGACTCTGCGAGTGAAAAAAGTGAGGCTGCGGAGGAGGGCAGACATGTCCCCACGAAAAGCACTTGATGCTTGCGAAAGGCATCCATCCCATTGTCCGAGAAAAGCATTTGCTGTGTGAGGTTGTTCTTGAAATGTTTGTTGGAAGGTTGTGTGAGTTGCGATGTAGTTGGGATTTAATGATTTTAATGTTGATGTGTGCGGGGAAGGATTTTTGAACTGAAAACCGCATTTTCCAAAGCCTCCTCCAAAGGGCTAATGGTTCCCCATGGCTCTGCATGTGTTCGTGCTTCTGACCTGGAGTTGTCCTTGGCCCCCGGCCTAGGACAGAGACAGCGGCCCAGCAGGTGCTCGGCCGCCATGTCTCAGAGATGGTCACTGAGGAGGAATGGAAGGGTCCAATGGCAGAGATCCTGTCGCTGCCTCATGTGGGAGGACTCTGGACCAGGACGTGCTGCCATACGGCAACATTGGCACCCAAGAAAGAGGTCGAGTGGCTCAGGTTCCCAGGCCGATGGCCATCAACTGTAGTCCATCAACTTCGATCGAAGTGAAATTAAGGATCATGCCCTCGGTCCATATGCTGAGATGTAGGCGGTGTTGGCAGCCTGGCCATTCCGGTCCCTTCCCGAAGGAACACCGAAATACCCTGTGGTGGTGCTCACCAACTCTCCCACTGCAGAAGTCACTGCCTGCTACCCTATAGGTCCTACTATAGGTCCTTTCGACGCCCTCCAAAACCACCGGGCGCTGACCGGTGTTTCCGCCGTCGGCAGGCCTTTCCGCCTTTGGGGGAACGACGGTCACCGAGGTCCGGCCGCTCGAGCGGTCCAGTGGAGACCAGCCTGCGTGCGCGCAAGGCATGTGCAGGTCGCTCGGAGGGTGGCTGCGGGGCGCTGCAGGGCTCTGCGGGGCGGTCGGAGTCTTTTTTGGGGGGGGTACGCCGCGCAGAGTGGTGCAGAGGGGCTCGGCATTCAGAGGAGACCAGAGGAGCTCAAAGAGTTGATCTGACAGATGGGAATTTTTGTTGCACGGTTGAGATGAGATCCTCTGCGGGCCACGGTGGCTGGAAACATGCACCTCTTTGTTGCATGGACTGCGATGACAAACTCCTTGCTGACTCATAAGTCGGATGGCGCGGCTGGTTTTCCAGCAACTTCTCACGTTGACGTGTGGTTCATACCGTCAGCTTCAGAACGGTTAGGTTAGGCCAAAGAGGAGTGAACGTTCAACAGGAAATGAAAGAAGCAGCTTCCCTACTCAGTGCTAGTGCTGGAGAACGAGTCCTGCACAAGCATGTGTGAAAAATTCGTGTCACGGCGGAGACATTCTTGTCGGCCCTAATGACCTAATGACCCTAATGGTTCTACGGCCAGAAACTCCCATTGCTTCCTCCGCCATCTGCCGCGTTTCCGGACGACGGTGAGGACGGACCCGACGACCGACGCATCAGCCGACCGTCCAGGCTTGGACGTGGTCCTAAGTACCTTGCCAAAGATGGAGACTGACCACGTGAGCCACACCGAAGGCCGACCGGGTCGGTGGTATCGAACCCGAAAAACCTGAAGGTGCAGATGGAATAGTGCGCTTGGCATCCGTGTTGATTGGTGCAATATAGTCTATACAGCAGAGTTGTTTATGTTGTTTGGCTCCCATCAAGCGGACCATCCTGAGAAAAGATTGTGCTGCCCTCATTTGGGTGGGGTGTTTCCACATCTGTTTCGCAAGCCAAGCATCCCTTTCTTCCAGGATTGGAAGACCATTCTTTTCTTTCTGAGGTGGGGTGATGGATTTGGACTCGGACCCAGGTGCCCATGTGCCTTGCTCAGCCTGACTTTCTTCCCATGCTTCAGAACGCACTCCGTTCCGTTTCGCGCGCAGACCGAGACGCAGACGGTGCCAGGTGTGGTGTGTCTCGTCCAGGATGTCACAGCTCTGAAGGCAAGACGCTCAGAGGAGCGTCACGTCCTTGGATGCCGGATTCTTGTTTGATCCCATACGGTGGTGCAGGGGTAGTTTCACAAGAATCGGTTAGCTGACGTTTGTTTCTTTTTTCGCCTGCTCAACAGAGCCTGGACCTGTTCATGAGAGCCCAACTTCCCCTACACACTCCGCCCTCCACTACTACTGTAGGCCTTGCGACTTCACTCACAGTTGGGCCATTCGTGGATATCGAGACTCGAACAAGAAGGGGCCCGGTCTGACCCTCTCAAAGAGCGAGTTCTGGATTGGGGCGGCCGCGCACCGATCGTCCAGTGACCATTCGCCGCTCACCGCGCCGGTGGTGGTAAACGTAGCTTTTTTTGTTGGCGGAGCAACCTCAACACATCGATATCATTTAGTTGGGGCACTTCCAAGCCAAGTGGAAGATGGAATCCTTCTTGACCGAGCATCCCAAAACAATCACCATGTCACACGCACACGCATAGGTGTAATATGGTGTAATATATAATATGTATGTATGTATGTATGTAATGTAATGTAATGTAATGTAATGTAATGTAATGTAATGTAATGTA